AACTCAGTAAAACCAGCCATGTTTTACAACATGAAAATGCATGCAGACACATTTATTTCCAAAGATTGGGCAATTTCCTATGTTTCTCAGGGATCATGTTTTGATGTTTGTTGCCAATTTAAGGGTGCAAGAGGTTGTAATAGATGTTTTAGCTTTTTTTCTAAATAACCTTAACAGTTTTGTCAGGACAAGCTAGTGTGAGTGGCTTCACATATTCTTTTATTTTTACATGTATGGATGTTTTTAGAGTGCTGGGTTGGAGATTTTTTCCCAATGAAGAAACCCACATTTTATTTTATTTTTTGCCAGAAAATGATCTGCTACAGAATGATTTGATGAGCCTTTTAGGTGTAAATTTAGCATTTTTATATTATTGTGGATGAAGACGGATAGGTGAAGTTCTGACCAAGTAAGTAAGCATTGCTATACTAGTTAATTGTCAATCCTATTTATTTTTTGACAATGGTATCTTTAAAAGCACTGGTCAAACAACCTCCCTTTATTCCTTGCACTTAATAGGAATGAGTAGCTTCTTTGGAAGCAAACAATTTTGATTTACCCACTGCCTCAAATGTCTAACTGTCCTAGCAATAGTAATTAACCATTGTTATTGTTTGTATTTGTTGTTAAACCTGTAAATATGTTTGATACTTTCTCAATATTGCCTTTTTTGTGTTACAGTGAAAATAAACTTGGAATTCATCCTTTTTATTGTTTAATCATCCTTTCCGAGTTGATGCTTTCATTTTGTTCCCAGTAGTTCAAGACCAGAATCCATTTTATAGTTAAACACAAAATGATGTAAAAGCATGTTTAACCATTGAGCATGTTTATTAAGATTATTTGTGAATTATTTTTGCTTTAGAGGTTTACATGCCAAAAGTATTGGCTTACCATGACTCTCATATGAACGTAACTAACACCCCATTCTTAAAATGTGATATTTTGCAAATAGCTTGAACTCTTTCAGGGAGGCTGTCCACAAGATTTCGGGGTTTGTTTACTAGAATTTCTGACCATTCTTGTAAAAGCACATGTAAGGTCATGGATGATGTTGGATGAGAAGGCCTGGTTCTCACAGGAAGAACTTTCCAGTGTAGGAAAGGGACTCATTTCCACTTTGGCCAAAGTGTTTTTCACAATTTGAATGACCCTCAGATATTCTTTAACTTGAAATGGCCAAGCTGCTTCCGAAAAACCAGTGCAACTTTAAAATGGCGCCCTATCAAACTTTACACTTGCACAATACAGTCAGGTCAAGTAAGTGTTCATCTCCTGCCAACCACAAAATCCAGACTTGCCTTAAGATTTCCAGGTTGAGAAGCATTATTCATCATTCCAGAAAACATGCCTCTAATGTGGGTGGTGGCATGCAACTGACACTTTTCATTTTACTCCATTTTACTAGTGTTTGGATGTAGCTGCTTAGCCATTCCATGAGTTTACGACGTACCTTTCTTGGGCTAATATGGAGCCTAGGTGGCAGTTCAGCTAAAGAAATTCATTGCTTTTGATACATCCACCATTTCAACAGACCTCCAGCCCCTCCTCCACATTCGTAGCTAAAGCTTCACCAGAGTGTCATTCCTCCCGGACTCCTACTGCGTTCCCCGACTCATCTTAAATATTGTTAAGCCTGGTTCTGCCAGAGGTTTCTTCCCAACGGGGAGTTTTTCCTCTCCACTGTCGCCTCATGCTTGCTCATCATTGACAGGTTCTCTCAACCTGTGTTATCCAACTAGACTTCCATCTTCCAGGTCCCTGAGTGAAGCTCTGGTATCAGCTCACGCAGTCCGCTTGATCTCCCCATAAAGCTCAGCATACTGTCTCGCTAACCAGCAGTCTACAGACTGACCAACTTCATCTATCTCCACTCCACCACCAGTTTCAGGCC